AAACTTGATCCTTGACTGCTGTGCCACAATGGCAGCCATTAAAGAGTCTGACTCACATGGTCCAACCTGTTTAATGTCACCAACGACAAGAATGCAGAGTGTACTTGTCTCAATTTTTACATACATTAAAATAAAATGTATTTTATTTTCAGAAATCACATTCTCAGACCTACAAAAGCAATACAATGTGCAGTTGTTGGTTATAACACTTCACCAAGATGATTTGATGAAATACAGTTTAAAAATCAGTCCACCTGTTTAATGCACACTTTACAAAACCCACTGCATATAAAGAAAAAGGGAGCCTTCCTTATGTATTTCCTGAATACAACACACCATTGTTTCCATGTTTTGCACAGGCTTCAGGTTTTTTTTAAGCCACTGATCCCAGTACAGATAAGTTCAAACAACTCAGATAACATGTGACCTAAGTTTAACTCAAAGCAAAAATGCATGTATTGTTTGTTTTACAAATCAGGTATTTGCTTTGTGGGATTTCCAGCTTTGTCAATATCTTAGTTGAGATTGAGCCTGTCCTGATCTGCTGTATCTTGGAAAAAGTCCCCATGAACAGATTCCTGTTCCGATTACTTGACAGCTATTCCTAATCTCTGAGCGTTCAGGTGATGTAACCAGAGCTGTTTCTGGTTCAGTTGTTCATGGAGGGCTGAGATGAAGAAGACGCCGCTGCAGGTCTCTTCCAGCTGTTCCCCCATTCTGCTTTGTCACTTCCCTCCGGACACACACCTCGAGCTTATCTACTTCAAACCCTTTTCTTTTGAATGTACCGTGCAGACACACATGCACAGTGCTCAGGTAAAATGACATCATGCTTCAAACATTTTCTCTTCTTCGTCCACTGTAGCTCTCCGGCTGTAGATTTGCTACTTTAAATAGTTTTCATTGCACAATGTGAGTAATGCTGTTATTGCAGGGTGTGAATGTGTGCGTGTGTGTGTGTGTGTGTGTGTGTGTGTTTGTGTGTAGGTGCAGAATTATTTGTTTTGATTTCCCAAAAGTGCAACAAGTGTGATTATGTTTGAAAGTTTAGTTTCTCGGTTGCCCTTCACAGTGATAGTCTTTTTTCTAGTCAAGGGCACATATATTGTTTTTTACATGCAGGCCTGAAGAATATATCTTATCTAGGGAGGCGTGTAGCGCAGTGGACTAGTGCGTTGGTGTTCGGATCAGGGGGGCACAGGTTCAAACCCCACTGCAGTCAGCATGTCGTTGTGTCCCTGGGCAAGACACTTCACCCTAAATTGCTCCTGTGGGGATTGTCCACAGTATTGAGTATGTTAGTCGCTTTGGATAAAAGCATCTAACAAGTAACATGTAATGTAATCCAATCCAAAAATATATTTCATTCTCGGACACATAATTAGCATTCACAATGACTTTGTATGATTTCCCTGAACAACGGCTACATTTGGGGCGGTTGTTGTCACTGATAGGACAAACGTTTGGTTGACAGTATGACCTCTGTTACTTTTTTTAGATACTACAGGAACAACATGATGTAGAATTGTATCCTGGCTGATAACCACTCCTTCCTTAATTGTATATCTATTCAAACTAATCCTCCAAATATTTGTCAACAAGGATTAAGTAAAAACATAGTTTGGCTGCTCTGTTTGTCTGTCGTCAGAAGAACAGAGCAGCCCATTTTATTTTTCTTCTTGATAATATATATTTGTAGTTGTTGTGGGTGAGGCTTTTAGTTCCCTGAATGCAATTTATTTCTTAAAAAAAGGCTGATATTTGTGCAGCATTATTAAATTCACCTAATCATTCAAATAATTGTATGTGTTTTTTAATTATACACTTCGTATATATGTTTGATGCTTCTGGCAATCGCTTTAGTTAAAGGTGACCTATCATGCAAAATGCACTTTTGTACGTCTTTTATACATGAATATGTGTCCCCGGTGTTCCAGGGAACTCACAAAGTGTCAGAAAACACAACCCTCTCTATTTTCCTCCATACCCAAATCTCTAAAAAAGGGGCTGCAACGGATCTGATAAAAACTGATCCAGATTTGAACACTGTCCTGACGTCAGGACAGTGGCGCTACGGCTATTGGGCCAACTCCACCAATCAGGAGGAGACAGACACGGCCATTGCCGTTCGAAAGCGCTGGAGACGCTGTAGTACATATGCCAGGCCAGTAGATGGTGCTGTTCTCACAGAATCAGCCCTTGCAAAAACAGAGCTAAAAAATGTCAAATTGAGCAAAATGAGGCATGGATAAAATGCATGATCTGTTTGGTATTTTGAAAAAAAAAAAAAGTATAAATATGCCTTATATAGGTATGGTCCTATACTATATTATTCAAATATAGCATGATAGGTCCACTTTAAATACAAATCTACCTTTCCATCACATCCTCCCATCCCCCAATATGTGCTGGATTTTTCTCACGTGACCTTCATTCTTGGCTGTAGTTTTATGGTAAAGCATTAAAAGACAGATATACTTGATAGTTATCGTGAGATGTTCAGTATTTTCTTTCAGTCAGTTGTTTGTGCTCGTGTGATGGTAAACAGAGAAGCAGCCAGCATGGCCACAACCCTAAATCCCTCCTCCCTATCCTTTAAGCAGCGAGCTGACCATCTGTTCCCTATAACTCGCTGCTCAAAACACACACATACATTAATCACAGTCAGTTAATACCTGCCATTGGCTCTGTGCGTATGGCTTCAGCTTAATTCAGTCAGTCTGGATGCATTGTTTGAGGTTAAAAGAGGTGATGAGTGTGTTTTTGTCTCACATGGGTGTGTGTCTGTGTGTGAAAAGAAGAGAGGTCCTGTGCATGTGTTTGTGCGCATCATGGTCATACTAAAGTTGCTGAGGCAACACATGGCATGAGAGGTTGGATAAGGGGCGACAGGAAATGACCAGGGTTGCAGGAGCCCTTTGTACTCCACCAACTACGCTAGTCCCTGATCCATTTCCTGTTTTCACCTTTTCTTCTGCTGTGGTCCTGTAGCTCATCCAGTTTGGTAGCAGAAGAGGATAATTATAATTTTTCTTCTTAATGCATTCTGATATTCACAATATGTTTATATAATAATGATGCCTGTAAAGTAAAAAGGGCTATGAATAATTCAATAAGACATATTTATAGAAAGTAGAGGTTGCAATGGGCTTCACTCTTTAACAGACTGTTTGGTAGACTCAACTCATCCAGCTGTGATGTGTTCCATCACATTGTGCATGGATCTTCTAGTCAAATTCAGAAAGTAAATCACTCAATGGGATGCCTGTGTTTCATTATTATAAAGACATGTAGATAAAGGAAACCAAAACTAATAAGACTTCTTAAAGGCCTGGTGAAAGTAAAATTGCCTAATCTTTTCTGGTTCCCTCTTCTCAGATGGATGCATTTGTAAATTGTCTTTGTACATGATAGTCAACAAGATTATTTTTTGGACTGTTAAGCAGAAGATTTCAAGACACAACCTCAGCTGTGTATAAACAAAACAGGCGTTTTCACGATGTTCTGACATTTTATAGATGAAAATATAAAAATGATTTCCCAGTTATCAACGTATACAGCATCAGCAATATAATTATTCTTTAAATAATCCGTTTGGAACAGAGGCTCAGAATAAAACAACTTTTTAAAAAGAGGGAGGGATACATAAGATACACATTTAGCTCTTTATACACCAGGAGGAAATGCCTCCACAACACCGTCTTTATTTGTTAGGGGAAACTTAAGTACCATAGTGTGTTGCCGTTACCTACCTAGTACCTACCTTCATGAAAAAGACAGCCAATAGCCACAAGTTAATGCCCATTCTTTGACGTAGAATTTGACGAGACGAGTTGACAGAACCCCTTTCTGTCAACTTGTCGTTCAACAAGACAAATGACAGCGTGACACACAACCACTCCTGGAATTCATTGAACATTTCATACTGATGATACACAAGACTGCAATGCCACCAGGGTTAGAGATGATGAATACATCAGCTATAGCAACGCAGGCTTCATCTGTGGTTGACAGACTCGTTTTGGTTTGAATGAACACCAAACAGCTCTCAAAGCAACATTGAGCTTCATTCAATGATAGCCTTACAGAGCCTGCATAATTTTCCACACAGTCAACGGCCCACCTGCAGTCGTCCACTGTGGCTTTCTTTTTTTTAGAGACATCAGATATTTGGGTTAAAGGCTTATTTTTGGGCGTTCTTAGACGCTGTGCATATGGCCCTAACCTCCACTTTGATTCTATCCAATGCTGAATATAACAGTTATAATTGTTTAAGAGATAATGATGGCCAGTAAAAGTATTTGTGCCCAACCTTTATCTACTGTATGGTGGTGGCGGGTATTGTATGAACATTCCTATTGAATTGAGATTTCAAAAACAACTTTATTTGAATATTTTCGATGTAGTTCATACATGCATAATACAGAACTGTCTAAATGCAGATGAAAGCGTAGAAATCACAGAGCAGCAGAGTTGTTTTCTGTCACTCGTCTCTCTCTCTGTGGCCTCTCCTCACCCCGTGACGCCCCTCCACTGTGTATTATAGAGAGTACTTGAGAATGGCGTGATTGTGTCTTCAGTAAAGAGTGTGGCAGCTGCTGTTCTCTGCTTTGGCAAAGGCTTACGTGTGTGCTTGGGTGTGTGTTAATGGTAATCCTGTAGATCCCGTTGACTTATCCTTTATCCTTTATGAGTATGCATGTCGGGGCTCCTGCTAAAAAAAATGTGGCCCTTTCAGTACATTACATAATAGCACATCGAGTCTGTCATAATCTGACACGTTTCGTAATCTGGCAGACTGCAGAAGGTTTGATTCAACAGTTGGTAGAAGTCTGTTTTTGTTGCAGTGTCAGATAAGTCCTGCTAGTGCTTGGATGTGTTTATTTTGTTGGATCTATTTTTGTGGAATCTGGATGCAGTGTTCTTTTAGAAACAAGTGATATTTCTCCCATACTTAAATCCTCAGGGTATTAATCAATCTTTTGTCTTCTGCTTTACAGTGGTAATGTCTTGACTCGGTGGTCTCTCCAGCCCAGTAAAGGACGAGCCTGTGCAGAGTTGCTGCTAATGGGAACTCCTGCTCCGCCATGAGTGCTCGTGATGGCGTCGGGGGCATGGGCACCCTGGGCCGGCGGCCGCGCTTCGAGAACTCAGAGTTCACCGTGCGCATCTACCCTGGCTCCCTGGCCGAGGGCACCATCTACTGCCCGATCAGCGCCCGCAAGACCACCACAGCAGCTGAGGCCATCGAACGCGTCATTGAGCGCCTGCAGCTGGACCGCACCAGGTGTTATGTTCTGGCTGAAGTGAAGGAATTTGGCGGGGAAGAATGGATTCTCAACCCCAGCGACTGCCCCGTGCAGCGGATGATGCTCTGGCCCCGAGTGGCACTAGAGCACCGGCCACTGTCTGGCGGAGAAGATTACCGCTTTCTTCTCAGGCAGAAGAACCTAGATGGCTCGATTCACTATGGGGGCAGCCTCCAGATGTGGCTGCAGGTCACAGAGGAGCGCCGGCGCATGGTGGAACGTGGCCTGCTGCCACAGCCCGAGGCTCAGGGGGACCACGCAGATCTTTGCTGCCTGCCGGAGCTCAACGAGCGCTCGCTGCTGGACAACCTGCGCTCGCGCTTCCGCCAGGAAAAGATCTACACGTATGTCGGAAGCATTCTCATCGTCATTAACCCCTTCAAGTTCCTGCCCATCTACAACCCCAAGTATGTAAAGATGTATGACAACCACACTCTGGGAGATTTGGAGCCACATATTTATGCGGTGGCGGACGTGGCGTACCACGCCATGCTGCAGAAGGAGAGAAACCAGTGCATTGTTATATCTGGGGAGAGTGGATCTGGGAAGACGCAAAGCACAAACTTTCTCATCCATCATCTGACCGCTCTCAGCCAGAAGGGTTTTGCCAGTGGAGTGGAGCAGATCATCCTGGGGGCCGGGCCAGTACTAGAGGTAAGTGAAACATGAGCAATCTGGGATTCAATACAAACCTATATGTTGTTTGCTAATATGCTCTGCTGTCAACAAAGCTGGGAGACTTGGCCTCGAGTCCAACCCAAGTTAAACAAATAATGACTTGAGATCTGAGTTATGTGAGCCTTCTTGACTGATTGACTCCATAAAAATTAGACCTTACTTAAAAGGAAAAACATTTGTGTCAAGATTGTGAGTCTTAGTTTTTCCTCAACTTAACCAAGTGTTAAAAGGACGGAGTATCAACTCCTGTGCGGATTGTAAAGCCCTTTGAGAGAAAAAAAATTGTGATCTTGGTATAAATTAAATTGACTTGACTTGGGACTGGACTTTGAGTGATCATGTCAGCAGATTAGTTGCCACACCTTATTAAGAAGCTTTCATTACCTAAAAAAGGTCTGCTCAAGACTTCATTACCCAGATCCTGTCTCCGATGTCTCTGCAGGCTTTTAGTTTCAAGTTGGCTGGAACAAATTGAATTAATACTTGCCTTGAATGACTGGAGACTTGACTTTGATTCACATTAAAACATAGTACACATTAGTTTAACCATAACACAAAAGGTGAAGTATTACGTGTGGATACATTTAGGTTACATCAATGTGTGTGAACCGTAGTGTTGAGTATGAATCGATTGATTCCTTCCACCATTCTCAACATGACTCGCTGTGAATGTATTTCCGTGTGGCTTTTAACATCAGTTACACAACACTGCCACAACTGTCTCTATGGTTGACCCCGGGTTGTGTCCTCATACAGAGGTTTCAGTCCAGCTGTGTGGGGATTATGTAGCACACACAGAGGATCTCTCTATCTCCAACTGCCAGTGCTGGCTCAGTGGTTACAGTTGTGGATTCTTGTTTTTGTGATTACAGTCTTTATTTTTGTTGCACAGTGGAAAGGTTGTCTCAAGGTAGAGGCCCAGTCAAAGGTTGTGAAGGAAACTGGTTGTTTTCATATCACTCAAAACATTCCTCTCATATTCTTTTGCCTCTTCAGGGACCTGTCACTTTTTAAGGCAAGGCAGTCAAGAGTCTTTGACAAGTTCACAACCACACATTGTTTTCTCATTTGTCTTTTCAACATCAACTGAATTCCTGACCATTGCATAACACCCTTTAACTGTATGCACAATGCTTCCAGTCAACAAGGCAAATACTGGTTGCTTATTGTCAGGAGTGTTGTAATTTATAAGGGTTTGTATCATTCACTGTCAAATCAACTGACCACCTGCTGTTTGCACTTGATTAACTTACCAAGAACAGGGCTGGATCACAGAAGTGCATACATTCATTCTGATATTTATTATGGATATAAAACCAGCATTAACAATTGTGTTCATTATCTAACAGCCAAAAAATGAATAATATTTGACTTAATGGCAACTCAAGTTTTGTCTGATTTAAATTGTTGCTATCGCAGTCCAAAAGCGGATTTATTTATTTCATTTCCTCCCCATGTAAAGAAATAAAAAGGCTCCCAATTTCCTCTGCATCAGTGTCAAGTTGAAGCTGGCAGCTTAGTAAGAAGCCAAGTTCAAAGTTAACTGTCATGAAAGCACCCTTTGCAACAAGTAGCTCTACACTGCGATTTATTGCCTTCGGTTTAGCAAACACAGTTCTCAGGAATGCCATTCATCGGTGTGACTCCCGGGTTAATGAGTAAGCATATTGGGTTAATCCTCAATGGAGCAACACGAGTGAGTAGTTTTGAGTGCAGAGGAGCAGCCTTTAATTGTTTGCACAGTAAGATTGCGTATCTGCCCGCTGGTGATTAATGCCAAGACTGGAGCTGCGGTGCAACTGAAGATCGAGATGGAGCAAAGGAGAGGAGGAACAGCAGCCAGAATTACCTCATAGGAACTATTTATCTTCATTTCCTTGTAGCTCTTCATTCAGGAAAGTCGACAAGCAGCACAGGAGGAATGACACACGCCATTTTCAATACATTCTGTTGATTGGTTCTCCTTCTGTAATTGTGTGTAGTTGTAGTTCATCACAGAGATTGATGCCCTAGTGGCCGTAGAGAGTTGAGAGTTGAACTGGAGTTAATGTTCTCAAATTCTAATGTAAAGAGCTTTCAATTTAACCTTGAACTCTGACATGGGCCATTGGTTTTTAAGAGCTCTGCTTCAGTTGGCTTGAAGAGGAACTTTGATTTTCAACATCAAAGTTGTAGGTGTTTGGGAGTAGTAGAAGAATGTCTCAGTCAGGTTAACATCCAGAAATGTCTGATATCGAAAACCAGGATAGTGTTGAGCCATCCCCCTAAAGTCAACAATCCTTTAGCATAGCAGACAGCCGTTTCCTGCTGACTGTCAGTCGCAGGGCAAGCTCAGCCCGAAGCCTAAAGCGTAGAGAGAGAGTTTTTTTTTTAAACTCCTGATATAGGATATCACTTACAAGAGGTTTTGGTCTTTCTGGAAACCAGTAAACAGCTGCTACTGTTACTTGTTAAGATCCTGACAAGCCCTGTCACTCAAGTGCTTCAATTAATAAAGCTCAGCTTAAAGGAGATGAAAACATAAACCATGTGAACCACAGTGAATTACAGTATTTTGTCTGAACATTGTTTTTATTCCAAATGAAGGCAATCAGAGATGTCGAAGACTTCAACTGTGGGTCAGAGATTGAAGGGGAAAAGACAGATTTGATGAATCCTTCAACACCTTTGGACTTCAATTGACCCCGCACAATGAAGACGAGTACAAACAAGATATGACTCCAATTGACATTAAGCTTTACATTCCTGTGACTACGTACAGTACTTGCACATTGGAATTTATGGTGTGAAATAGTTTGGCTCTTTTTTGTCTCCATGCCAACATCAAACATTATATACAGGAAGTTTTGAATCACACAAAAGAAATTCAGTAACAATGTATATAGAAACTCTTTCACCCAATCCATAACCTTGTGTGGTTATATTTTAATTTACAACACTGACTTTTACTGTAGTGCAATGGATAATGGACGACTTTGAAGGAAGGCTTCGCAGCAATAGCCGCTTTCACACCAAGCAATTTGCTGTACTTAGTGCCGGCACTTAGTGCCTGGCACTTAGTACCCCCAGGGCACGAAGTAGATCGCGTTCACACCGGAATAAGTTCCCTGAGGGAAGATTACGCAAATGAAGCCGCTGACGTCACTTCTTCTTCTGCTTTGGGTTTACTGGCAGGCCGCAAACCACTTCACGGCGTATACTGCCACCCGAAGTTTCCGGCTGGAAGTCCCCGGAGTTGGGGACTGGCTTCAGTAGAAGCTGCTGGGACTCCCAGCAGCTTCTACTGAAGCCTTCCGAGTAAATCGCCAGAACGCCGACACCTCCTCATCTCCACCGCTCCCATGTTTTTTTTTGTGTTGCCATAAGTTATTCTCTCTCCGTTGGTGCGCGGGGCTAATGCTAATAATGCTAATGCCAGTAAATACAATGGCGCCTTCACAAAACTTTTCAGAGTTTTACGGGGCGTGGTTTGCAATTCGCCCAGCCAATAGAAATTGGTACTTTTTTCTCCCCAGGATAGTACCACCTCTCAAGCAGGTACTAAAAATGGGGGTAAAAGTTCCCGGCACTAAGTACTCTTTTTGGTGTGAACGCAAAATAAGAGGTACTAACGGAACTAAACGGGAAAAGTACGGGGAAAAGTACTCCGGTGTGAACGCACCTATTGCTTCTGTAGCATTTAGAGGTGTAAAAGCTGCTTGATTCTCTGCTTGATGTCCATTTGTTTTGACAGTGCTAATCAGTAATGCTGGGTCAGTGCAGATGTTTTGTCTTCGCTTCTTTGCAATATCTCTACAACGACCAAATATCTGTTGGATTGATGCATTTTTGATAAAAAAAGGTTTTATCTTGTGTGGTTCGGGGATGGATTCTTGTTGGTGCACTATAGTTATTTATTTGTAGTTTTCTTGTGCTAGCTAGTGTTTAACTACCACCCAGGCTTTGTATCCAGATGTTAGCCTGTTACATATTTTTGTTTCAGGTGGCTACCTGACATTTAGGAATGATTTCAAGCACAGTCGGGGAATGAATGTCCAAAGTAGGTATAATAAAGAGAGATGTGCTTAAAATGGGGCGTCGGGTTGAAGAATAGTTACCATAATGAAACTTTTTCTGCTTTACTGTCTACCAATGTTCCCTGTATATATACAGTATATCTACAGAATTGACTCTCAACAAATAGGTAAAACCACCCAAAAACATTTGTTAAAAAGAATATTACAGCAACTTTATAATAATGTATTTTTATTCTTGAATAAAACACATAAAGATTTAAATTCACAGCATTGTATGGTACCAATACAGAGTATAATGAGAAGGAACTGTCTGAACTTGGTTGTTGACACTGCTGAAAACAAAGACTGTTCACAGGAAGTGTGGTCATTTGTTTTTTACATGTGAGCCAAGTGGCATCTTAATATGAGCTCAGCTGTCTTCTGCCCCCCCCACCACCCCCCTTGGGTCAGAAAGGAGAGTATGGGTTTACCTCACGCCGCTCACTCTGACACTGCATCATCACAATCTGCTCTACAAGACCATAGGCGTCATAAGCCATTAGTGCATGAACAGAGCTAATGATGTGTGTGTGTGTGTGTGAGAGAGGGTGAGAGTGGTACAGATACATACATGCTCTCTATCAAACTTATGTTATGGCAACTTACATACAGATTCATTAGAGATGTATTAGTGTTACTAATGTCCACCATGGTTCTAAACAAACATAGTTAAAGAAGTAATCCACATTATCTATATATTATTTTGATAATCATTTAATGAAATATACAGTTTTCTTATACCATAGTTAACAAGATATTTTGGAGTTTAGGTAAACTACTTTACTATTGGTAAAACAAAAGCCACATAAAGGTATCCTATTTGGGCTTTGTAAAATGGCAAGGGGATTTCTTCTAGGGCTGTGCGATTATGGCAAAAATCATAATCACGATTATTTTGGTCAATAATTGATATCACGATTA